TCTGTGGGAGTTTCGTGCTTCTCATCTGAGATCCACTGTGACGCTCCAAGTTCTACATCTGGAGAATCAAAACAAAGTCCAGAGAGCCGTTCAGTCATGCAGCAGCATGTTGCTTTACAAGTTTTCTGTCTTCAGCTGTTCTGCTTGGGTCTGAAGGGACGTCTAGCCCTCTTAACCTCCACTCACGGCTCTCTCGGTAATTCGTTTGCAAGCTTGTGTGAGAAATTACATTCCATCCAAAGTGTTGTTTCTCTCACAGACCTCTGAGCGATTGATCATGACCCTCTTCAAGATCCTCCTTTACCTTATATACTGTATATCTAATTAAACAAGCATATTTTCTCATAAGAAAGGTTGGTCAGGCCACAGAATCTGAGAGGCGTTGAAGTGTAAATATGAGTCCAGATTTACAGCAGCGGTCTGGCACTGAAAGCTGTTAATACGTGTGAAAGTTATATAATGGATGAGTGAATAATAGGAAACAGACATTTCCCTTATTTGCCCCGATGTGCTGATCCACCATCTGATCTGGATACAGACTGGATCTGGTGGCTACGGTGACCTCGGAATAAGAAAGAAACAGACTAATATTAGTGTAGATGCCATTCTTCTAGCGATGTAGCAAGTACATCGGGTGTTATGGGAAGTGTTCCCGGTTCTGGTTGTCCTAATTAATGCAGCCTAACAATCCTTTAACGGATTTGAATATTAGAAATGTGTAGTGTGTTATGTGTAAGCCAGGTTAAAGAGATGGGTCTTTAATCTAGATTTAAACTGACAGAGTGTGTCTGCCTCCCGAACTTTAGTCTTTGCAGCTTTACAGATCTTCTTTATGCACCAAGAGCTTGTATCACTTCAAAGAGAAAGGAAAACTTGAAATCGCATCATATGACCCTTTAACGTTTCTGCATTTGACATTCAGAGCATAGGTCGTAATTTAGATATATTTTTAAGATGGAAAAATGCGGTTTTACAAATGCTAGAAACATGGCTTTTGAAGGAAAGATTGCTATCAAATAGCACACCTGATAATGAAGAATTTACAGCACTGCCATCAAGTGTTAGACAGTGTTTTAGGTTAGTAGGTCCAATAATTAACACCTCTGTTTTTTCAGAATTTAGTAGTAGGAACTGATTAGTCATCCAGTTTTTTATATCAACTATGCATTCCATTGGTTTTACAAATTGGTATGCTTCGTCGGGCCATGAAGAAATATAGAGCTGAGTATCATCAGCATAACAGTGAAGGCTAACACTATGTTTCTTGATGATATCTCCCAAGGGTAGCATGTAAAGTGTGAAAAGCAGCGGTCCTAGTACTGAGCCTTGTGGCACTCCATACTGTACTTGTGATCGATATGATATCTCGTCATTCACTGCTACGAATTGATGGCGGTCAGATAAGTGAAATTTGAACCATGACAATGCAGTTCCACTAATGCCAACATAACTTTGTAGTCTGCTCAAAAGAATGCTGTGGTCGATAGTATCAAACGTAGCGCTAAGATCCAGTAGCACTAATAGAGAAATACAACCACGATCGGATGATAAAAGCAGGTAATTTGTAACTCTAATGAGAGCAGTCTCAGTACTATGATACGGTCTAAATCCTGACTGGAAATCCTCACAGATGCCATTTCGCTCTAAGAAGGAACATAGCTGAGAGGATACTGCCTTTTCTAGTATTTTTGACAGAAAAGGGAGATTTGTCCGAGAACGGACCTGTGAAAGTCATGAGAGCTCAAAGCTGTGAATACTGAAGATCCTGACAGACTTCACCTACAAGATTCAGTATTCAAAGCATTCTTTCCTGGAGCGTTTGACGAATCATTCCTGATTTTCCGAGCAGGATGCCAGTGTCTGAATGAGCCGTGAAGAAGCGTGGCTGTGGGAACCATGTGTCTCCTCATTTAGACACAAAAAACAACATGCTGCTCGATGTCTACATACTCTTACAGAGAAAACACAGCTAGCATATTCCATAGGGATTCATAGCCTATGTAAAGAGCTCAAGAAGGTCCATATTTACTGATATTGATCCTGATGTGATTGACCGTCGGCTGATGAGTTCTGGAGACGCAGACGGTCTGTTTGTGTCCACAGGCATTTCTGGTGTCTGATGATGGACGTCCTCAGGGTTTAGAAGGTCAAGCATCTGAAACATGCATTATTTAATCATACATATGTCAGGACCAGCCGGCACCGGCAACTCAGATCAGAACATGAACCAAACCATGAAGGAGTCTGAGCAGCTTACTGCGGGGTTAAAAACTAACATTACAGCAAAACACAACAAAAATAATTATTTGAAATGAATGAAATAAAAATAACATTTAAATTTAAAATTAAACTTGTTTCAGGTACATTTCATTTTAATATAATTTACTAAAATAAGTGATATATAACATAATAACTGAAATAAAAATAAAAAATCTGAAAATAAAATGTACTAAAAACTATATAGACATAAAATTAAAAAAAAAATAATAATAAAACACACGAAAAAATTACCAAAACGTGAACTAAGATTAAATTGAAAATATATAAATATAAAAAAATAATATCTAATAAAAAAAATAAAAAAGCACCTTAACCAGAGGAAAACCAGGTTGAGTCCGTATCTCTGACCTGTCATGATTTCAGTCGTTTCAGTGATCCGTTTCCCGTTCCAGTCCAGATCTGAGGGAACGGCACTCATTTTTTTACATTTAAATTAGTCAATTGTTTCATTAATTCCCAAATATCCATCTAGAAATGTGTGTATTTTATTTAATGAAGTTAATTTTGTATTGAAAGGGAATCCAGTACAGTAATTTTGGTTAAGAGGTTATTAAAGGGACAATTCACCCTCGCATGATTTTTCTTTTTTTCTGTGGAACAAGAAAAAACTCCTGTTGTGTTCTGAGGAGGACAGAACGATTTGTGTGAAGCGTCTCTTTAGGATGTCAAAGCCCGTTTATATTAATTACAAAAATTTGAAATACTTTGAAATTTCAAATTCCACATGAACCCGCACAAAAAAATGAAGCATATATATATATATATAAATTTGATTTGAATATATCATTGTATGAAATTTATAAGATCATATAACCTGAGAATTACCGGAAGTAACTCCATTGGAATGAATGGAATTTAATTAAATCTCATTAGAATTTATTCAACTCATGACTGCCCAAAAAAAGTCCAGATATATGAAACCTACATAAATATTACTCTGAGAAGTTTTCAAACAATTTTTATTTTTATTTTACTTGTATAAACTTTCACTTTCAGATGAAAAAGTGATCAATTGTTCATGTTCATCCAGAAGTGTGTGAGAGATGGGGAAAAGACAATATCTTTTACAAACGTCTTTTGACACTAATATGACTTCAAAGATCATTTTATAAAAAGTATTTTTGACACCTAACAAACCCTGGTCAAAAATGACCTGAACAAGAAACATGTAGGCTTTTTAATTTTATTTAATAAATGGTAAAATCTCTTAAAAGATAGTGAAAATCAGAATGAATGAATGAATGATGTGTATTTTGCGTGTCTTAAAGCATTTGCAAAGTTCCGTTTTCTTACTAAAAACTATGCTTTTTTTTTAGAAATGTTGATAGCAATGACATAAAGAACCATTTCTGTGGAACATTTTGATAATCTAAAGAACCTTTTTCCACCATGAAGAGCCCTTAGTGGCTTTATGGAAGTTAAAGATTCTTCGTGTAACCATCAATGCCAACAAAGGAGCTTGATTTTGAAGTGTAGCTGTTTTTTCCGGGTCACTGTATCTGATGGACTGCGTATGTTAGCTCTGAACATGAAGCTTCTTCTAAAGTTCTGACATCAGTTATCCCTCTTGTGTTGTAGAACCTGTCCTCCATGTCTCCTCTGGACGAGCCGCTGGCCAGAGACTGGAGGTGCTACATGTCACCGCAGGGACGCAGATACTACGTCAACACCGTCAGCAACGGTAAGAGCCTCCAACCACAGCACAATCAACAGGGCCAAAAACCAAGTAAATGTTGCATTATGTACAACTATATTATATTTCAATGTATCAACATATATAAATTTTTGTGTTTTAACATTTTACATTTTTTTCCAAAAAGTATAATTTTTTGGGGGTTGTTTTTTTTTACATTTTAATTATTTTTTTATTTTAATTTTTAATTTCCCACTTTTTTTTTTTTTTTACATTTCAAATTTTAAAAATCAGTTCAGCACACGATGCCATGCTTCTGTGCATTCTGTATAGCACTGTTAAACGTGAAGAAAAGCTTTCAAAAATGGCTTTTTACCTGCTATAACATCTCTAGGTACTTTTCTCACATTTTAAAGGCATCTATGAAGTTTTCATGCCCACGTTCTGCAAAAGTCACACTAGCATTCATACCAATGTG